GCGAAGTACGAATACGTCACTTTGTCTTACCTATATGAACATTACAAGTTTGAGTTTAACGGAATCGATGTCCGGCTGTTAGTTTTAGTGTTAGAGTGAATTGGCCAAAATTGTTTGCAAGCATAATATCACCGTAGACACGAATAAACCTAATGTAAAATTAATTTAAAAGAGAAAAAAAAAAAACACTACAAATTTCCGACGATCGACACAAACGAATTTTCGAAATTTTAAATCCGTGTTAACCGCTCTTATTATACGGAAAAATTTAGAATTAAAAACACAATAGTTACGAGGAAATATTGCGTTAATTGTCAACGGGTCCGCGTTCCTTGCCGAATCTGCATGCGGGATAATTTCGGCGTCACGCGGCTGGTTTTTTTGAACGGAAATCGATGTCGCATACAGGACGTAGGCACTTTGAAAGATTTCATAAAGAAAAGTAAATAGAATTATGCTTGGGAGAAAATCCCCCGAGTGCAAATATCGTATACAATATACATCACGTACCGTTTTGTGCGAACAATTTTCTAATTTAACGTACAACTTTCAACCGATAAAACCCTGATATGATTTTGACCGAATTTCCGACCGTATAACACCGCAGTTCGTGAACGACGTATGCGGTAACGCACGTGAGGTTTTACATTTTCAATTTTTTTGTCAATTATTCGATTGAGACGACGCCGCCGCACCGAACATATTACACCGTAATATTTTAACGCGTTTCGTTTTTATTTTCCTCCGAGTACTCTGCGGGGATACCGAAATCTCAAAATCGTAATTTCGGCACGCCGGAAGTTTTTCCGCGTCAACGGCGGCGGCGGCGGCGATAAACGGCAGAACATTACAATAATGCGCGTTTGCGCGTATCGGTTTTCGCGCTATTTTTAATCTTTAAGCGAGATACAAGCATTTTTCAACCGTCATGTTTCGCACAATCGTATCTCGCTTGAAACTACTGAAATATCGGTACGAAAACCGGCGTACGAAATACGCAGATAATGTTCGCAACTCTCCGATAATAGGTCAATTCACTCCAATAACATTATCGAAACCAAAACCGCAAAAACACGACTGGGCCGAACGCGAATCGACTGTGTCGTGCGTGTGTAAGGCAGATACGCGCCGGACGCGCGTACACATTCTTAATAAAATTCGGCCCGAAACTGTTTTTTTTTTTTATGTTAAACGAATGTATCGTATTATTTCAATTTTTAAATCATAATATACACGGGCGACGAACGGTTAACGATATTTATTATATAAATAGTATTCGTAGATTTCCTAAAAATTGTATTGATATGGCGCGCAAATATTTATATTAGAAAAAAATAAAAACAAAAAAAAAAAAAAAAAAGAAGTATTTTTCGCGTGATTTTCAAAAGTAACGTACCGATTTCGGGGGCCGTCGAACGCTAATATTTATACGATGCTAATTGTGCGCGCAGTGGCATGACTACTAACTAGAACTTCCAATGCTCGCGGTAAAAATTATTGTATTGAAGGCCGATAAGAAAGAAGAAAAAAAGGCCTTCACTTGTCCAATAATGCCTTGGGCCCCGATTCGGAGCCCTTAAATGTCACGGGGCCGTGACCTATTGCCCATCGTGTCACCCTATCAGTACGCCACTGTGCGGGCGTTAAAAGGGACCCTGCGCGTACATTTATTGTTTTTTAGTAAAATAGTAAAAACATGCTTTGACAGACTACAAAACTTGATCAGTTTCGGTCTTGGAGTACAAGCACTTATCATGAAATTAATAGAGAACAATATCCAGAGGGCGGACGTTGCGTTTTTTCGAAAACATTTTTTTTTTTTTCCGGAAGTCGATCAAAATATTGTTGAAAAAATCGTTATTCATAAACGGTCAATTGATCGGTATGTTCGGACAAAATGGGAAAGACTCAACATATCGCCCTCCGGAATATTGTTCCGTTTATTAAAAAAACCAAAATTATAAACGAATATTTCGCGTAGTCTGCGTAAGCGCGTTTGCAAAACGGAAACAACGAATGCACGACGTGCACGACGTCCTCTTGATTCGTTTACTTACTTTTAAGTACGATTACACTATAACTCTGATGTGTCCCGGTGTCGTGGCCGACTCGCTAGCTTAATTATTCCAACTTGTTTTAACCAAATATGCGTGCAACAAAAAATATTCATTCTGCAAGTTTATTTAATGAGAAAATATCGGCGAACTCGGTATAACGGCTGTGTTCAGATTTACAAATGTATTACATTATTACAATTTCGCGTCCTGTACATTTTAGTGTGTATCGTTTCTATTGTCTGTCCAATCCATATTTTATTATCTATTTTTTTTTTTTGTTTTTTATTTTTTTTTAATTAAATTTTCTCGTCTTCCATATGACATACGTTTTATTAAACTACGCATGACCGTTTTCTTTCTTAACGCGTAAACTAAACTGTTCACTTATTGCGTTG